TGTCTTTTAATGAACTTGAAATAGATACAATTCTCTTTCTTTTGAATTTAGACCTCAGAGTGGGCACCAGAGTCTGAATATACTTTTGAGTGGCTCAGTTTTTTATTATGCTGCTTGAATCACACAGAAATAGCCTGGTTTTCAGGAAATTATGAGAACCATGCTGGAAATGAAGATCCTTCTAGTGTTTTGTAACAGAATAACCAGAATTTAAGGTATCTGAAATCTCTAGACGTGCCTGAAAATTACATTCTAAATAACTCTACCTTTTTTAAAAATTTAAGCTGTGTTACTAATTACCCCCTTTCTTCCAGCTTTGCGATTCATGCATTATCTTCCTCTTACTCTAATAACTCACTCTAAGTCATTTATCGGAATACAGAGGGGTTTAATACCCAAATAAGACCTTTTCCACTTGGATTGACTTTTACCAGCAGATGTTGCTGAAAGATACCAAAGATTTTCCAGCAAAGCAGGCAGCTCCCTTCTTTGGGGAGGATGCTACATGGGAAGAACTGTTACTGTTTGGGCAGACAATAACTCCTACTGAGCAAACGCACTCTCTGACAGATCTGTGGAAGTTATTGCACTTTTATAACTGTTCCATTTGTACTGCTTTATTATTGCTTTTTATTATCTATCCTAATGCCTCTGGTTTATACCTGCGCTTCAAAAGAGATGGATGGTGCATATCACCTACAGTATAAAAAGGTGTTTTTTCCCCTATAGCCAATTTTCAGCTAATTTAATATACCTGTTTTTCTATTGCCTTACAAGTTTAGGTGATAAAAGTCTTTTGAACAAGGAAAACAGTTGCACAGCACGAATAAACACTAGGTAGCTTCCCAAGGAGATAATACTATGCAATGGTAGCTCTAACCTTTCTTTTTTCCTCTTATTTTCCTCCCATCCGATGTCTATTTTTATTCAGCAATTTGATTTGAGAAACAAAATGAGAAAAGAACATCGCTATTCTTGGAAACATTCCAATATGTTGCAGGAGTAGAAGGCTTGGATGAGACATATGCACCATCTCCCTCTAAAGACCATTTTATGGTGACAGCCAACAGTATCATCGCAACAGTTTTAGGAGTGTGATATTGGAGTGTCATTTACTTCATTCTGTGACCAACCTTGGATTAGGACCACACGAATGGACACAGATTCTAATAAATAAAATTTTTTAAAAAAAGAAAAAATAAAAAAAACCCTTTGTCAACCCTGGCCCAGGCATTCATCAACCTTGGCTCAAGCTGAGATGTGGAGTACAAACATAATGCTGAGGTGCAATACGAGAGAGTGATTCATCGGAGGAAACTCAAAAACCTCCGACAACAAGGTGATTCATACCTTGAGTGCTAATGGCGTTTTGCAGTAACCTCAATTTACTGATTTTGCATTTCCATAGCAAATGATTTACAAGCGTCCGCATGTGCTCACATGGTTAGATGTGTGCACTCAGGTGCGACTCAACTGAAGTTAAACAATCTGTATTTAATGGGGTCTCTCTTTGAAGATAAGAAGCCCGACACCATCTTTGCTATCTAAGACCTTTAATTAGGAAGGTAGTACTAGGAATCACACAGGGTAATAAAATATAAATTGCAGTGCATCTTCTCTGAGCTCCCTTAGATCTTGAAAAGCTAAGGACGAGGTTCTGGTAGCAAACTACACGGATGTAAACATGAATGATGGTTTTGATGGGAAATGGACCCAGTTCCCATCGAGGGTAAAAACAGAAACTTCTAAAGGCACCTATACACTTCACAACCCTGGATTTCAGTGGCAGCTGGGTACTACGCATCTTTGAAGAACTGGCCATTAACGTCTTTCAGAAAGGTTTCCAGTTCTCACAGACTTCAGTCAAGGGTGAATTTCCATTGACCACGTGGATGGGTTTTCAGTTCTCAGCAAGTCTATTTCCTTTCAGCAGGGCAGATAAATAAATATTAACAAGGGGCTAGGATATTTTGTATTTCTCTGCTAAAGAGAGTTACTTGCAATATCTACCAAGAAATAACTAGAACTGCTGGTTTTGTGGTTCACTTGTTTTCTCCCTCTGTCTTTTTATGCACAGCTCTTTGCTGCAGAGGATGCAGCACGTGCCAATGCAAATACAGGGCAAGCATCTCCTGTTTAGCCTCTTGAACCAGAGCTTGTGAGAATTGATGCAACATTGGTCAGAAGGCATGAAAGCAGTGAACTGTGCTCTGGAAATCAAGCATAATCAGGCAGATGGTAGCGTGATAGGGTGTGCAGAGTGATGTTAGGAACTAGAGGGTAACAGAGCATTACACTACAGTTACGTTTGACAGTGCATCACCACCTACAAACCAGGATGTACAGCCACAGTAGCCCAAGAACACCTATTTAACGACAAGGTACAGTGCTTTATTTACTGCCTAAGACAAAGCTACAGAAGTATCCACTTATTCTGCAGTGTTACCCTGTTTAAAAATCATGAGCTGCCTTAACAGTATAGCTGTCCTAGCTAAGCAGTGTTTCATTTCTACATTTCAAGACATTTCACCCATCACAAAAAAGGAATCATTCATAGATCCTACTGTTCCCTGGGGCAATCTTAGGTGTTTGCCTTTGCTGTCTTGGAACACTGTGTAGCATGGTATCACTGCATGAACGGATGCTCTGTGCTCCTATATATTATTATGTGACCTTCCCAGCAGATTTCAGCATCACCAACTCACTAAACTCTGTGGGTTGCCAATGCTGTACTAGTAAGCTAACCAAATTTAGCTTAGAAAGTAACAGGCCAAATTTAATCTGGATTGCACTTGTTTACAAGGGATTAATTTGTCCTGTTTTCCCTCACTGGCCTTCACTGATATCTTTTTCTTTTGTAGTCATGACCACTACAGTGTCTGACTGTCTACTTGTAAGTAAGTTAAGCACAAGTTTTTTACATTTTGAAGAGCTGACCGTGCACATCCATGTGCAACCATAAAAGCCTACAAAGGACCGTGCCTTCCTCATGAGACCAAACATGATGTGACATCCTTAAAACTACACCATCATTATTCTCTTGAAAATCATCTTCAGGTGATGGTGAGGTATGTATCTGCTCAGCCATGAACAAGAGATGCTGAACTGTCTTTTCAAGAACAGTAGATGCTGCCAGTAACTGCAAGATCTTTGTAATTTGGATTTTCCCATGTTTCAGAATTGTCACATTGCCAAGAAGGGTTGGGGAGCAAGGATGGTGTTAGGGGATCGCCATGTTATGCTTCCCAAAGGGTGGGTTTGCTGCTCTACAGGATGGGCTGCTTTAAGGGGTCAAATGAACTTTCACAGGCACGACTGTGTAAATCTTTCCCTTGCAAATCAAGATTAATTTCCAATACAAACCAAGGTGAGTGAGAACCGCTACTGCTAGCAGCTGTCCAGAAGTTTTGCATCCACCAGGTAGGACCCAGAGAGTGAGGATCCACCTCATCCAACCTGCCAGGCTTGAGTGACAGATTTCCTGAGGAAGGTCTGACCAAGTAAGACTAATGTCTTATCCTTTAGAAGAGGCGGCGGCTTCCCTTTGTCTCTGATCAAAATAGATTGTGCCTGTTTCCACGGTGATAAGAGATACCCTGAAAATTTCCACTACTTTGGAAATCTATAGAAGCCTTTGTAATGCTGTGCTCTAGTGATTTTATTGAAGATAGCAGTAATAATAGTAAGATGCCAGGACTCTGTAATGTCAGGGGTTTAAAGAGTTGGATTAAAACAGAAAGGTTCTACCTCTGGTTTGGGGGTCCCACAAGCCCAAATCAGAGGAAACTGGAGAATTACACTCAGTAAATACCTGCTTTTTCTGTTCTGATAGTCTTCCCAAGGCATCTCTTGTTGTTCTCTACTGAAGGCAAGATGTTGAGCTAGATGGACCATTAGTAAGATCCTGTTTGTCCTCTCTGATGTCCTTGTATCACCGAACCAGGAATAGCTGAGACAAATAAATACTCCTAATCATTTTGATCATGTTACACAAGTTAACTGGCTTGCATAGATAGGAATCAAAAGAGGACACATATCTAACTGTGAAAATTTTCAGAAACACCCACATGTCTTTCGAGTTGAACTGACCAGAAAGTAAGGAGTCATCTCACCTAAAAAATGTAGGGTTCGGAATGAGTGGTCCTTCCACATTGGAATGAAGTAGGAATGTTTCCAGTTAAAGACGTCTCCTTTGAGTTCTGTGAGAAGCTCTGTGGCTAGGTGATAGTCCCAGGCTAGGACAGAGCAGAGGTTTGTGGACAGGATAGCAATGAGCATTAATTTGCCAGCTGTCAATAAGCCAGGGCAGGGAGGTGAATACAGACACCTTCCGTAACACATCCTAACGTCGTGCTGTCTGCTACTTTGGTGCAACCGCTTTCATTCTATGCCTCGCCAGAACTTGCATCCTGCATCAAAGACGTCTTCCTGCCACATTTCAATGAAAATCTCACCTAACATCTCCAGACCTTCACAGGCAAGAGCAACAGTCACCAAACTCAAATCCTAGGTCACCTCTGAACACAGAGCTCTGGAGATCACAGCTCTGGGACACTACTGGGAATAAGAAGAGGTTACTGTGTGTGACAGGAAGGCAGAGCTTCGGGGCGATTTACTGTACTGAGCTGTAGCTGCACTGAGTATAAAATGAAACAGAATTTATGTAGCTCTCCATTTCACAGAAAGCCAGTGGAAGGGGGGGGCGCATAACTGATCTTGGTAACTATTCACCTTCTGACATCAGAAACCTCCGATGCAGCACACAAGACTGCCGTCGCGAAATCCCTGATCAAGAACATGAAGCTCCTTCCCCTCTTCACAGCTGCGTCCTGCTTCACGCCCCCAGGTCCCACTTTCTTTGTACTACAAGTGATGAAGTTTTTTTTCCGGATCACATGAGCCAGGATGAAGGGGGAAAATCCTGCCAGGAACAGAGATGGGCTGCAACTTGAACCTGATCAAGGGGAGATACAGAGCAGTACCCCGAGAGCTATATAAGAATGTGCTCGGCACAAGAGCAAACACTTTCTCAGGTGAAGGACTCTCATGAATCAGCCATGCATGTGAATGAAGACACCGTTTCAAGGAGGCTTGGAGCCACTAACAAAACATATTTGTATTTCATCATCGCTACCCTTGTTGCTCTACTCATCTTTGCATTAGCCACCATCATGGTCTTAGTCGTTCAGAGGACGGTAAGAAACTTCTTACTTTATTCACCGGCTTCTTTCTTTTTCTTTCTTTCTTTCTCTCTCTCTCTCCCTCCCCCCCCCTTCTCTCTCTCTCTTTCTTTCTTTCTTTTTTTTTAACCTACCGCTTTCCAAAAATTATACTGTGACCAGAAAGAGTTGCTGCCTCCTGTTACAAATGCACACACATGAATTAGGGGACAGAAAGATGAAACAAAGAGGGAGGGAAAAGAACTTTCAAAAAAACCCAACCTTTCTCCATAGGCAGCATTGATTTCTAGCATGCAATTTCTATTCTGTAAATGGAAGTGGAAAACTCATAATCCAAGATGCAAGCCACCCTCTGTCCTGCCTAGTTAGGAGGAGAGGTGGAGAGAAGACAGATCAGTGCCTCAGTGTCCTCTATCTGGTTTTACATGTGTCTCCTGTCGCTTCTTTGGGGAGTGACCACTGTCTGAGATGGTCTGGTCTGGTAGTGTCTACATGTGTTCCTCTGAAATATGGATAATTTTCAGTAATGGACATAACACAAGACATCTCTATGTGTGACACTGTGTGGTGCTGTCTGTTAGGGTGCACCATGATGTGGGGAAGCAGAGCTCCCTTGAACTACCCAGAGCAGTGGATGGAGGCAAAGTATCTCACTGCTGCTCTCTTTTTGTCAGTCCTGTTCTTGGGTGTGATTTTTAATGCAAAAGTAGAGCTGTAGCAAGGATGACTGAGGATATAAGTGAGGCAAAGTCTCACAAAAACAACTGTTCCCTCTGCCTACAGACATTTTTTCCTTCTTAAAATAAAAAGAACTGCTTTCAAGTGGATGTGGGGTTGAATGGGGAAACAGTGAGATAGTTACAGCCAGGGCAGAGGTACAGGTGGTTGTGATTATAAAAAGTGCATTTCTAATCTTACCAGGAAAATTGCCATGAACTTTACCAGGGTAAAATGTCAGGTTAGAAGTTTTACAGGCTTTGAAATCTTACTGCAAAAATCTAAGTGCTGAAGTACCTCCACTACTATTTATAGAATGAAAGCACCAGCGTGGGGCTGCTGGAGGAAGTTGGCCGTGGAAAACAAAATATGAGCTTTCAGTTCAATATTTTCTCTTACTAAATTTACCCTGTGCAATTTGTGTGTCTGTGTATGCATGTTACCCAGAAATTAAACCACGAAGGCTTAACTGATACTTCAAGTTGCACCGGAGAGGAGTCATTTCCCTGAAATCAGTGTTCTTCCTGGAAAGAGTTTGGCCACAGTTAGAATGAGACATGGGGGTTTTCAAGTGATAAATAGTGGGACATTAAGGGAGATCTTTAAAGTAACAGCCTGGGTAATTGCAGAGTTGCCATGGCTTTCCTATATAATGAGGCTTTCATTTGTACTTATTATGGAAGTAAGCATTAAATTACCTCTCCATCAGGATAAATGCAATTACACGGGTTGCCAGAGGAACAGTATTACTGAAAGAGTCAAGATTTTCATTCAAAAGAGTAATGACATTATTGTGGTCACTTTGGAAATGAGCTTGGCTGAAGGAGAAAGTGGGAAGCTGAGGTGTGTGAGAAACATAAATAAATTCCAGCAGCAGTTTTATGCTGTGAGAGGAGTTTGGCTGTAAAAGCATAACTTGTGTACTTGCTCTCAGGGAGCCAAAAGACCCTGAGTTCAGAAACAGCATAGCCATTCTTTATCTGTGACCAGTCTTGAATTTCCAGACTAGGGAACAAGTGTCAATTCTTTGAAACAGGGTCCTCAAGAAACACCAGGGCTTGCTCCAAAAACACGTTAGCTCATACTAACACTGTCAGTGTAAGGCTAGGCACAAACTCATTTGGTAAATACAGATGTGGTTGGGCTGACTATCTTGTCGTGTTGACTTCAGCGGCTCGAGGACAGGGGGTCTGGGGGGTTCTTGTACTTGGAACCCTGTGGATATTGAGTCCTGTTGCTGTAGGGATTAGAGCATCATCAATTGGCTTAATTATTTTCTTTGTAACTTCTGAAGAGAGGACCAACATTTCGTGCAATCAGCCTCTTGGGAAGATCTGTTTTTCTCTCCAGATGCTGTGAGCTAGATTATGTGAGTGGTCCTTGATCACAGGGGCAATGGTGGCAACTTCATGCCCTCTCTATGCTAAGCTGAGATAGAAAGTTTTGTTTTCCTCTGTTCAAAGGAGTGTTAGAGGGTTTTAGGGACAATGTAGGCCTTGTGACCCTTGTCTTGGGTACCACTACATTAAGAGGAGGCTTCTGGTGGCAAGCAGATCACGCAGTCCCCTGGACCCATTGCAGGTACATGGAAGTTGGCTGCTTGTCTTCCTTTTGATGAATTTACACTTGTCTAGTTTAAGATGAAGCAAGATGCATTGGAAAGGGAAAATCAAACTGCATAGAAACAAGGTCTTCCCATCACTGAAAATCTAGGTGCCCTGAGTAAGGGAAATCTGACATCAATGACGAAAACAAAAAAGCAACTATGATTCCAAGCCCGCTTCTTTGAATCTAGCAGCACTTCTAATACACATTATCTGCCCCTCCCTACCCCCACATTTTCCAACACCCCAATACATTTCCTTTACGCCTTGTTTTCAAAAAGGGTGGCATAGCACATTAGTGTCAGACCTGGGAAGTGTCATTTTTGGAACTAAACTACGTTTTTTGGAACTGACTACGTGCAGTGTTGAAGTCAGTTCGTTTCTTCAGTTTTCATCTGCAGAAACCCTTGGCTTCAGGCCATTCACTTGTCTCGATCTTAAACAGGGTGACTTTATTTTTCCCTAGAACAAGAATAGTCACTGTGTGGTGGTCCGTAGCCTTCATTTTTCCTTCTTAACACTGTTATAAGAGTGCTAAAACATCCACCTTTCTGCCTGCTGCATTTCACTGCTGCCAGTTGTACGCATATATACACATCTATGTAGATATTTATGTATATAGAGAGACAGATGTAAAATCAGTGAAAGAGTATGGGACAGAAAGGACTAGATAAATGCAATTTTAAGACTAACAGACCCTAGTAAGTCTTACGCTGTGCTGCAAGGTACACTGTATCAGACACGGAGGCCACCTACCTCTATGAACAAATCTGTGTGAATGTCCAAAGTCCGTAATCTGGGACAGTCTGTCACTGCTCTGGATTTTATAGACTTCATACTTTTAACCTCCAAACTGCATGGGCGAATCTTTTCAGCACCATTAAGGCACTCTTGGCAAATGCAAAGAATCAGTGCGGTTATTTATATTTGCTGATCTAGTCGTCAAGGCTGCCGGAGTTAACAATGTAAAACCCCTTTAGCAGGGGGACTGCCGTAACCAGAAATCGCTCCTACAGCACCCGGCCTGTTCCTGCACTATCTATTGGTGATTTGGGGCTGCTTAAAAATAATCTTGCCATGGGCTGCCCCAAGCGGTGCCTGTCGGCCCCCTCTGGCGGACAGCCCTGACAAAAAAGAAAAGGGAAAAAAAAAAAAAAATCAAAATAGCATGGAAAATTGCCCCTGAAAGCAGATTTCCCACTCATTGAACAGCAGAGGAAAACCGCTGAGGCATTTTAGAAGAAAACTACACTGTTCCAACTCTTGCCATTGGTATTCTGTACAGCGACAGTCACCTGCTGCCTAGAGGTGTCACTTTAAAAGGTTTTGTCGGTACTGGAAAAACATAATTTCACACAGGGCTCTGCTTCCTGTGATGCACATTATTAGATCAGCTGCAGGGACCGTTCTCTGCTTTCTGGAGTTTTCACATCTAGTTTCTACTTTTACCTCTTGGCAACTCAGGGCCACCTCCCTAAAGTGCCGCTGCCTGCCTTCCCCCTCGGCCAGAGACGGGTAAAGATGGTTTGAGGCTCAGCAGAAACATGGGAGAGGAGCCTTGAGGCTTTTTTTTTTCAAATTGCAAAACTTCCTACGAGGACAGCAGTCCAAAAAGCTCATCCCTGCGGAGCTGCTGTGCAGATGTGCTCTTGGAAGAGCCCTGGACGTGGTTAAGCTGACCCCAGGGCAGTTTCTGCGGGAGAGTGGTTTGGAAGTGTGTTTTCTTGGACTTTCTAGAGGCAGATACATGTTTCAGAGACCTCTGGTTAAAGAAATATTCACAGTTCTGACACAGGACATTAGAATGACCCTCTGGCAGCATCAGTCTGTGTCAGGTTGGGAAAATTTTTTCTAAAACGATTAAGGGAATGATTTTCTAAAATGATTAACTGGCACCTGATTGTCATTTTCTCTAATGAAGCAAATTCAAATTGTTCTGTTTGCTGAGTAAAGACTAGGATCCTTCATCATCAGCACCCAGATGACTCCAGACAGATAGAGTGAAATTCATTGTCATGAATTCTTCCTGAGTTGGCACTGTAGAATTTAATCTCTTTGGGGTCCTACGCTGTGCCTCTTTGCATTCCAAATTACAGCATTACATGCAATATTTTTGCTGTTAGAAAAGAAAGAAATCATGCCAGTAATATTTCAAAGCAAACTCTGAAGTTTTATTTGAATATCTAATCCATTGTCACTAAAATAAATTGCATTAGTATCTGCTGTTTTCTCCCACTGGGAGACTTCCTTAGGTGACAAGACAATACAGTAGTACATTTTAATTTTGTTTCTGTTGCCCTGATTACAAAGCAAGCTGTGAGCCAGTAGCCTTGTCCTGCATGCCATCTCCAAGGGAGGGCTGCAAGGTGAAAGCCTCACTGGTGATAACATCTCCATCACTTTACCAGACACTTCTCTACAGGCAGCAGTGAATCTGCCACCTGAGTTCATTTAGCATTATCTAGTTGGGGACCGAGCACCCCCTTTCTCTCATGCAAAAAAGGCCTTTAATTCTCCGCAGAGGGCAGAAATGCTCATACATTGCATTGAAACGTAAAGCTTCCCTGCGCTCTGAGTGCATGTGAGAGGGACAGCCCAGTGCAAGGCTCCAAGACAGGAGCTGAGAGGCTCTGGCAGACGGTCCTTTTTCAGAGTGTTTTCAGCCAAGACTGTTCTCAGTCCCACATTTGCTGATATGTATGCACAGGATCCATGAGAGTTTGTGGGGGAGAATGTCATATAGGGGACCAAAAAGCTTGGAAATGCCTGATTTTTCAAAATACAACTCTAGGTTCCTATTCCTTTCCTAAGCCAGCAGCCTTCCTGTACAGCTTAGGAAGATCACCTGGAGAAATACTGTCTCAACAGATAACTTCTCCCTTGTCTTACATAGGTGTGGGGAGAGAAAATGAACTAATCATATATTACAGATACCCAAATTATGAAGCACGTATGCCATCTCTGTCTGCAGGACACAGCATTTTGGTATTAGACCAAAGGATAACATTGCTTTGCCAGGAGCGGATGCAGATCTACACTTCAGCCATGGTTGAAAACACAATCACGTTAGGCCAAAGTCTAATTAAAAGTATTCTTAAACATTTAAGGCTAGAACATTAAGTACCACAAACAGACACAACATGACTTCTCTCACTGTCCAACCGTCTACCTTCTCCCCACACCACACCTTATCATATTTACACACAGAAATAAAGTGCCTATGTTTTAAGACCACTATGGATAAAGTTGTCTCCCACCACATGTGTGGTGTGCCTCATTTCTCCCAGGAGATATTAGATGCTCTGCTAAAGCTGGTACCAGCTTCCCAACTTTCTTCTACTTGGACATCCTGGTCGGTCACTGGGACAGGCTCCCAAAGGGAGGTGGTCATGGCACCAAACCTGTTCGAGTTCAAGGAGTGACTGGACGATGCATTTAGTCACATAGTTTAGTTTTAGGTAGTTCTGTGAGGAGCAGGGAGTTGGACTTGATGGTGTTTACAGGTCCTGTCCAACTCCAGATATTCTATGATTCTATGATCGTACGCTAAATGGGGCCTGGGCTGATTAACCTCCACATTTAGCCCAGGTAATTGGTATCCGGATAAGAGGAGCTACTTTAGGCTAGCCTGAGCAAAAACCACTCCCTGATACTGAAATCACCGTGTGACTGCTCGGTATGTATGAGTGAAGGGACGTGACACAGAGTTTCAAGCACTCTCGGTATCTTTCCGCAGCTGTTGGCAGAATTTCTTTGCTCCTTGAGGACATTGCTGGATGTGTATGAGCTGTCCTTGACTTCCCTTGTGTGGAAGTAATATACAAGCAAGCACAGGCTTCAGGGTTGTATCTTTGGATGGCAGAGAGGTGTGATGAAACAGAAGCAAGACCACAGATGAAGCCTACCATATGTCACACTTGAAGAATGTTTCATGAGCAGTTTTCAGGCCATGCTGCTTGAGGACGATTTCCCGTGTCATTTTGACCCTTGGGTTTACATCCCAGCAAGAAGTAGGAGGAAGGGTGAAGCAGGACAACACTGTCACTCTCAGACTTATATTGGGGCTCTACAGCTTTTATTTTCATCCAGCCATTGGCTTGCAAGGGATGAACACTGGCTCTCAAGAGTGTCCAGTCGTACTCTGTCCTACTCTCTCCAAGCTTGCAAGCCACAGAGCGGGGTTTTCAGGGCTTGTGCTTCCAAAACAGCCCCCCAAAAAAGCCACACACATTTCTTACAGCTCTGAGAGAATTGCTGGCTGTATCAGAAATGTAGATTTTCTACATTACAAAAAAAGGGCTGTGATGAGGGATGACTGAGGATGATACCTGGATGAGTGTCAATAGCTTGCTGGAGCTGTTTGCTCCACAGCAATCCCTCACTGACCTGTAAGGATCTATAGGAGCTATATGCTCTGTAGTGCCTGGCACTGCTCCCCGTGCATCAGGTTGTGTATTGCCTTCATGGCATTCAATGGAAACTTTTAAGATCCACTTTTAAAGTAGGATCATACTTGAATGTGGGTATGCTCCCAGAATAACCATCACTTCTCTTGCTTATCTTTCAGGCAGCTGATCCTGCCACAGAGGGCATCGCAAAACCTATCAGGACAGGTAAGACAGACACCTAAACTGACCATACATGCCATTTATCTCATCTGTAATGCAAATATTGCCCAGGATCACAAATAAGCCAATTGTGCACATCTAAACATTTCACATCAAGTCTCTTCTTGGTGAAATGCCAAGGTAGTGGAGGGAAAAAAGAAGAAGAAGAAGAAGAAGA